AGAAGAAAAAAAGAAAATTTTAAATAAAGGGCAACTCTTTCTCATGACTTGCAAGTTTAATTGGATATGTCATTGAGTGAAAAGAGCATTTTCTAAAGTATGTTATGTAGCTAGGTAAAACACTGTTATCATAAAAAATATTTTTCATGGTCAAACAGGTTTGGAGAATGATGAGTTAAACTAATATTTTGTAATAAAGCTTTTAAATCCTAATGTCTAAGGTAATTCTGTAAGAGGAATATAGGAAACGCTTACTTCCTAAACTTTTTTTGGCCATGGACATTTTATTTTACACTGCTTCTCATGGGAATACTGCTATGCTATGGAATATACTTTTAGAAATGCTGATCTATGAGAATAAACATTATTTTCCATCATTGACATTTTATACTCTTTCACAAAAAAAAATAAAAATATTATAAATTACTTTTCAAGGAAATTAGTTCTCCTCAAAGGAAGATTATTCAATCATCATCATTGAATTAGTGACTTAGACTTATTTGTTCTCAGGACTGATTCCTACTAATCAACCCATCCCTGAAACACAGGGATACAATTTTCTAGAAAAGAAATTAGTGTACATTTGTGGGCTTAGAGCAGTGCAGATTCTGTGACCCCACTCAGTAATTGAACCAACTGTCCGTGATTTCTTCACTTCCATTTTCTATATCAAGCTCCACTATCAGGCTTTCAGGCCCCATTTCATCTGGCTTATCTACAGGCCCCACAAAAGAGTTTTTGTTTTTGAAAAAAAAAATTATAATTGAAACATTTTGGAAACCACTGCTCAAAGTAACTGAGCTACTGGGTTAGATCTAAAAAGATCAATAGGTTCACTTATTGGGGTTTCTTCTATTCAAGGAGAATAAGGTTGAGGAATCTTCCAGTAAATCAATTGGAAACTTCATAAGAGGTGAAGCTCCTTGCCCAAAGTGAAGAAATGATAAAAGCGTTAGCTTGAATTGGAACCTCTTAACTCCAGATATAGAACAATTTGGGGCAAAGAATAATGCTTTCTGTTTTGCCAAATTCCCAGATTGACATTCCTAGATTCTGACATAAATCACACCTGACATTGAGCCACCAACATTTACTGTGCATTTACTATGCTCCAGACTCTTTTCTAGATTATAGGGTTATAAGAACAAATAAAATCCTTGCAATAGAGGAGATATAGGGAAAACACAGGAAGCAAGTAAACAATCTGATGTCGAAGTTAAGCTTTGTTCTGGTTTTCTCTTAGTCCTCATCCAGATGTACCAAGTGACTGTCTAATCACAGATGATCATTTTTACCTGTTCCCATTTTAACCCCAAAATCTCTGAGTTGCATTTTTATCTCCACTAGGTGCTATTTGCCTGATTTTGTCCTAAAAAATGACACTATAGAAGGTGAATGACCCCATTCTGTTTCTACTCTTCTTTGCCTTGTTTTCCTCCCTGAATTTCATAAAGTTCTGTATTTTTTCACTGTTTTTACCTATATGTCCTTCTTCCCTATCATGAATTCCCACAAAGTGCTCTTTTCAAAGATAAGCAGATCTATGGGGCACTACTTAACTTCGAACAATTATAATTCAAATTTTCTGACTGGAGACAGGATGTGCCGATCTATTATAAATTTGTGCATAAGGAATTTATTATAGTTCAAAATAAATTTTGAAATTTATAAGATTTTATACAATTTTTTAAATTAAAAATCTCTTCAATTAATAGGAAGTAAAAGAAAGGGCCTTTTTCTTAGCTAACCCCTCCTGTCATATCCAAATGTTCACTCTCAGATCTACTTACATGCTATTTTCGTTCAACTTAGCTGTTCATGGTTCAATTGTAAAAGCAGTGGGGGAGGGGACTTTGAAACCATGGGGCTCCCCTTTCCTACAGCAAGATGCCTATCCAGCTCCATTCACCTTCAGGGTGACACATTTCCTACCGCCTCTACCAGTCTTCATTTTAATGATTCAGTCGGGTCAAAACTGAGCAACATAAGTTGCTTTATAAAATATCAAATGACATCAAATATATGACATAGATGGAACAAGCCAATTAACTATCTAATCGTCCCATATTCACCTTCATAGCAAAACTGACGTCTTGCTGTGCTTAGTGCTCCTATTTAGAATTAATGAGCAAGTCTTTCATGTCAAGAAGGATCTGGCTTTTAATTCTGACAACTGTAACGTTCCACACATCCTGCTTTCATACTAAGCCATAGAGCTATCATAAGTAACAGATCTTTAGAAATTCAATGCATATCTGTTGATTTCTTCCCAAAACGATCAAGGAAAGGCATGTTGATTTTACAAGTATAAGTACATTTCAAAATAATTTTCACATCAAGAAATAAATCTCATGCAATATAGTCTGGTGGTAAAAAACCTGATTAAGGAAAAGACTAATTAAAGCCCCTCCTCTTCTATCTACTTTGCTCTCCTGAATTCCTTCATTGCCTGACCTTTGCCAGCCAAGCTACAATCCAGGGGAGAATTTGTTTTCTAACTTTTCATTTCTTTCCATAATCATATTGGTGTTTGTTGTTCTAGAAGGAGCCTATATTATATTCCTAGCCAAGTACTTTATGCATTTATTTAAAGTATGTAGGGGTGACTGAATAAAGATAAAATTGCATTCACTTTGGAGGGATCAAAATTGGAAGCAGAGAAACTGGTCATGAGGCCATTTCCGTGGTACTGCCTGACCATGCCAGTAACCTGTGGTGGTGGAGAGGGGTAGACAGAAAATTCATGGTTAATTGTGCATGTCATTGACGTGGGAATGCGAAGAAGGAAAATACATTCAACTTTGTTAATGTGGTAATATAGAGAATAGATACATTAGACCACACCCACCATCATATAAATAACAATCATGTGTGTGTAAGTGATCTGCAAAGCCAAAGAATTATAGACAGCTGAAACATGATTTTATCTGAAAGGGATTTTGCATCAAATGAGGTTAATGGCATGTGCATATACATAGATGAAAATGCATGGCAGATATATAAAGTTCCAAAAGGATGGTTTTGGTAATCAGTTTTCTGAGCACTCAAAATCTACTTTCCTATCTTTATTCCTACTTCTTGAGAGAGTAGAACTGAGAGACTCTAAGGTCCAGCTAAATTAAGCTATTGTATTTCTTATACTTTGAGACCCCTAAGTTTTCCTATATCCTTAATCTTATTTTTTCATCTGCTATCTCTGTCTAGTAGACCTTTACTTTCTAAATCCTATCTAATTTTCAAATGATATTCAAAATAGATATTCTGCCCTGGTCCCTGCCATCAGAATTCATCTCTCTATTTTATGAGGCTTTGTATTTGCATCATTTTTTAAAACTTTTTATAAAAACTTTTTTATATATTTTTTTAAAGATTTATTTTATTTGTACATACAGAACTGGGGTACAGGCCAGAGGCTCAGAGGCGGTGAGAAGCTTCACCAGAGACAGAGTGGGGAGCAGAACAGGCAGATCGACAAGGTACACTGCTGAGGGGAGCAGCGGGTGCATCAGGAGAGGTCTGCCACGCCATGTGGTCACCTCCGGGGTAGGCGGGAATCGAACTCATGGGGAAGTGGCTTTAGCTTCTCAGTGCAGTGCTTTAACCCGCTGCGCCACCAGGGAGGGCCTTATCCAGTATATTTTATGGCTATTTCAGCACATGTGTTACATCATTTTGTTTACTCCCATGTTCAGTTTCTTGTAATGGAGCCATTTCTTACTCAATTTAGCCATATTTGCACTTATATGAATGTATATAGGCATTGTGTTTGTATGGATACGCATATCACACCACAGCCACCACCACAACCAAATATTCAATTGTCTAGGGCATCGACTGCCCTCTACCAGTCCCATACCCACTTATCTTCTTTCACTATTTTATTGTCAGAGTCAAAGGCTTTATTTTTGTTTGCTTGCTACTTTGCTTTTTTTAAATTCTTTTTTTTAAAGATTTATTTATTTATGCCTATAGAACTGGGGTACAGGCCAGAGGTGCAGGGGCAGTGAGAGTATTCACCAGAGGCAGAGTGGGGAGTAGAACAGGCCGACTGACGAAGTACACTGCTGAAGGGAGCAGCGGGCAGGTCAGGAGAGGTCTGCCATGCCATCTGGGTCACCTGCTCCAGGACGGGGATCGAACTCATGCTGAAGTGCTGTAGCTTCTCAGTGCTGTGCTTTAACCCACTGCACCACCAGGGAGGGCCCTATATTCTTTTTAAATGAGTGAAATCATGCACTATTTGTCTTTCTCCTCTAACTCTTTTCACTTAACATAATCCTCTAAAGGATTCTTTGTTTATCCTAAAGGATTCTTAATAGCAACTTGATGTTTGAAGAAAACTTTATAGGTGAGAAAATACACAAGACTCTAAATAAGACAAAATGAAAGTTGGTCTTAGAATACCTAAAGGGGATTGTCTATTAATCTTTTTCAAATGAGAGATTTCCTTTGTTTGTGTCCAACAAGGTGACTTTTGTGACATTTCCATGGAAGTTAATATGGAAGTTTAATAGTGTTCTTGGATAAATTGTTTTCATGATAGACATGTGACTTTCTTCCAGTCACAATTTTGGGGTTGCTGTCTTTTTTAAAACGAATTATTTCAGTCTGGTTATTGAATTTTTAGTAGTTCTTAGTGATGACATATGTTAAGTGAAGTCCATGTTGGTTGCCATCAGTTCCTCTGAATCCTTTAATTTGGTCCTTTTATGTAAAGTGACTCCAGAATTTCTTAACAGAAGGGTTTGAGGTCAATCATCGGATAACAGTCCTTTCTGGAAAAAAGAACGGTCACTGGAACATGCAGTTGCCCTTGTGTGGTAAACATGCTGTTTTTACTTGCAGACATTTTACTTACGATGTTGTGGGGCATTGATCCTCTTCAATTCACACAGAAGGACATGAAAAAAAAAAAAGAAGAAGAAAGGATGTATTCAATATTAAAGCCATATTAATTTAAATGTCTCTATTACTTTCCCATTTTTCTAGACGTTAGAGAGGAGATCTTCAAAAATCAAAATGAAGCTCACCTTTACACGTTGGGTTTTTGCCCTGTTCATCTTTCTACATGTGAGTGAAACAGAATTCTTTGATGTTAATATAGAATGTTGAAACAAGAAGGAATGTTTGAGTATGGCTGAATGGGTACTAGCAAGAATAGACATTTTTCTTCAGAAGTCAAGACATAAGTTCTCAATATTATCACTTTCTTAATATTTTATTAACAAAATCTCTCTGGTAAAATTTCATTGACCCACAAAGTGTGTGTGTGTGTGTGTGTGTGTGTGTGTGTGTGTGTTTAAATTCAATCCAGAAATATGAGCTTTGATTATTTTTTAAAAATTAGCAATAATTGAAACATCTACACATTAACCTGGAAATTAATATTGAAGGTTAATAATGTTGTTGGATAAACTGTTTTTCATGATAGACATGTGACTTCCTTTGAGTCATTCATTACATTGGAAATATGATTCTAAAAAAATTTAAGCAGGACTGTTGTAGGAACTATTACCTATAGAATATATAATGTTATCTACTTATTAAATAGCCTTATGCAGTATTCTAGAGATACAGAAATACTGGCATATTCTACTTCCTTTGAGTCATAGTTTTGGGGTTGCTCTCTTTTTAAAAATATGAATTCTTTCAATCTGGTTATTGATTTTAAGTGTATTTTTGATCTAAAACTAAGAAATTGTATGCCTTAACATGCTACCATCATTCTATAACTCTCCAGTATTTAATCATGTTCAATTTATTTTTACATTATTTTATTTCTAAATGATTTAGTTAGTAGTCAGAACTACCTTAGAAAAAAATCATCAATGCTAATTTTTGTCAACATTCTAAACCCACCATCACATCAACTTAACATACATGAAACAACATTGGGCAATGACATATAAATGTTAGTGACTCAGGATCTGATTTTCACCCAAACAGAGCTTGCCTAGAGTTCTAGGATTTCTAGTGTATGTTAATGTGTAATTATGGGCTTACAAGTCCACATTTCTCTTTATATTATTTCTCTTTATATTATTGAAGGGGAAAATATTGCTAATGTACCATAAATGTTGAGTTAATTTTGAAGGGATTTTTATTTTACAATGTTATGTATAAAATAAATGTCTTATGGGAATGATTGTTAATGTAACCCTTTTATGTCTATTTAGATAAGAAGTTAGTTTATTTTGTAATATTGTCCATATTATTTTAAGATTTAAAAAAGCTTTGTGTAATTTGTTACAAGTAATCCAGTATTTGGAAATGCAGGTAAATTCATTACATTGGAAATATGATTCTAAAAAAATTTAAGCAGGACTGTTGTAGAAACTATTACCTATAGAATATATAATGTTATCTACCTATTAAATAGCCTTATGCAGTATTCTAGAGATGCAGAAATACTGGTATATTCTACTTATAAATTGATAATTATTTTTCATAGCTCAAATAAAATTCTATGTGGTCAAGTACATGTGAATATTTCTAACTAATATCATTTCATAAAACATGATTATTATAGTGGACATTGATAGAAGAACTAAAGGAAATACTAAATATTAATAAGATAGTTTGATAATTATCTAATCATCTTTTTTACTACAAAGACTTCAGATAGTTTCCAGTGTGTTAAAAACTGTATTCAAAGCTCAAATATATTTTATCTGATATATTTAAAACGCAGATATTGAAAGAATTTCATTTGTTTTCATGAACACCAAATGCTTCATGCTTTGTGGACAGCTTTTTCCTAGCAAACATAACTGCACTGGGCACTAAAATGGCTTTGTGCTCTCTTTGCTGTGACAAATAGAAATTTACTTCTCTATCAATGCTTGGATTATGTTTTGATTCAGAGGATGTGTCCATAAAAATTCATTTGGTACATCAACATCCTTCTAAAATACACTGTACCCCACATTGATACTCTTCAGGAAAAAAAGTAAACTTTTTTTTAAAAGTGATAGTCGTTTTAATTATCTCCAAATGTCATTTCTTAGAAATCCATATCATGAGCAACCACTAGCAATAGATTTATTAAACTCTACCAACCTGATTTCCAGTTGTTTTGAATCCATTGGCATAGGTCACCACATTCCATTAACCACATCTTCTACTCTAACCAAAATTAACCCTCACTTCCTTCCTCTTATCTCCAGTAATGAAAGAGACTTAAACAAACCTCAGTACATACACATAGGAGCACTCAAAAAGTGTTAATGATCGTGAAAATGATGAAGAATAGAAAAGCAAGGTTTTTCTTAGTGGCATTCTATTTGGTTGTCAACTGGCACATGGGAGGTCCTCAAGGTATTTATTAACTGAAAGAATAGGTGGCATTTTTGCTCCAGACTATAGCTTTGGTGACAGCTTGGTGGTCGTATGTGTGGTGCCATTTACTTGAGCCTTTAGGAGTGACATCACATATACGACGGCTAAACTGCTACATAGGACAACTAAGAGATTGTTTTTTGTTTTGTTTTTCAAGTATCTTGTGAGATCTTGTCTACAAAACTTCGAACAATGATCTTTACTAAGAAAAGCCTATGCCCTTAACGTCCCATTTCTATCTTCATGTGAATTAGAGCCACATATTTACTGTCACCCCCCATATATAGTGTAAACATAATACTTATAAGTAAACATTTTTAAATCACTCACATACTTGATAGTTTTATCTAATCACAACTGTTTATACTTTGCCTCTTTATTGCTGAAATTATACCAGCTCCACTGACATTTTTACTTGTATAAAGTCATCAGCAAAAAGTTTAATGTGTCTAATGAATGTTATGAAATTTGTATATATGGTATTTTATGAAATAGTTGTTCCACAACTTGAACTTTATGTTTTATATCAATGTCTTTATATATCTATAGCTACCTATCTGTTATATGTACACATATATGTATATGTGTACTATATGTCTTTTATATGTGTACATGTGTGTACATATAACAGAATGTCTCATTATAAGCATATGTAACAGAATGTCTCAATGCCTATGCTATCTTCAGAAGAAAAGCACTGAAACATTCAGCTTCCAGTGGGAAAATTCCATCATCAATGTGCAATGATCCAGACCAGGAACGGACTCAGAATATTTTGGCTCATCTAACGACCGAAGTTCTAATTCCTCATTCCTTCAGTGTTGAAACAATCTCTGCTGAACCAGACTCCAAATCAAGTTCACTGGAGTTTGTTTCAATATTGCAAGAATGATAAAATTGATACTGCTATCATCTGCCTGCACTATACCTACTCTTTGAGATGGTCATATCTCCACTGCTGTTGATGTTTTTTAACTGCATTAAATCAAATCAAATAATTCTGTTTCTGAAAACACAGGTATAGGGTTTTCCATTTTATATACTTGTTCATACTGTTCCCCCAGGGATTCCATAAATTTCCAACTAGAACAGCAACATTCCTTAACCAGTTGTCCTGTGCATTTAAAGACAGAATTCAGAATTTTACTTTTGGAAATGACACTAAGCTTAAACAACTTAGTCACTAATCTCCTACTATATAAATGGCAGAAAGTAGTCCCTGATATAAGTGATGGAAAATATTTTTGTATGTCATCATATTCCATATTCTAAGCTGATTTGAAGATGGTGAGAAATTGGCCCAGAAATATTTATCTTAAATGATAATTCTATTACCAAGTGAACATTCTAAGCACCATAAAGAAACTAAAATACAGCTGAACTAAAATATAGCTGTTGCTCCTTCTTATTTTGAGGACACCATTAAACATGATTAAAGGTCATGATTACATAATTTGAGTGGAATTACACAAACGTGCACTCATTTGCTCATCCATACAAATGTAAGCTAATGAAATCCAAAAGGAAGACGTAACATGTTTTGTGTGTGTGTGATGTGTGTTACCAAACACATCTAATTTCTAATGAAATATCTGATCATTTAATGACTCTACCTTTCAAGATCATTGATGTCAAGAAATATTTCATAGTATTGGTTTGTTTTTGTTTTGTTTTGTTTGTTTTTTGCTAGACTGTATGCTCCATGAGGGGAGGATATATACTTGTTTTATTCACCAATAAATCTTCAACAACACTTAGCTCACCAAAGCTAATGTCTATTTGCTGACTGATCTAAAAACTGTTTGGAAAAGGGTTGTATGAAAACAGTGTTGTTCAACTACATTAGTAAGGGTTTTGCATACTTTTAATCATTTTGTTGGCTTGTTGATTTTTCTTTCTTTTCTTGTAAATTCAAGAGTCATTAAAAGTAGAAATCACCCTAACATTTAAAGTATACTGTCAACTGTATTCACAGTAACTGTCCATCTAGAATTATAACTGCAATGTTGTAACAGTAATGTATATCCACCCACTAAAAGTGATTTCTACTCAGATGACTTCGTGACACCTCCAAAAAAATCTAAAAGAGACATTACTTTCTTTCCCTCAGTGAAGAGTGTTTCCCAATTTGTCTGCTTTCTCAGGGCACTACCATTTTCCCCAGTTATATTGGATAAAGTACCTGGTGCATTTGTTACCATTTGTTTTTCCTTATATTCAATTATGCCTTTCCATTTATGTGAAGAAGGTTAGGAACTGCTTCTTTTTCCATCACAGGGTAATCTAGTAAGCTGCCTTCAGCTTATGGGGGCAAAGATATTTTCAAATACTCACACACATCAGTGATGCCAAGTAGGACTGAGACTGGCATTGGCAGCTTGTGCTGATAAAAACATGTAAGATTTACTTTGATTTTCAGCAGTAAAAATGTATTATCTGCACGGTCATCTGCTGATGAAACCAATTTAAAGAAATTAAGCCCAATTATCCAAGCTGGAAGTACACATTTGTTTCTTCTATGAGATAAATAGGGTAAAATTTTGGCAATGTTCTTAATCTAAGTACAAAACAAAAATCAGCTGAAAGAATGGAATAAAAATAAAGTTTATTTCTGGCACTACCTTATCTATTTTTAATAATGTGATTTGGGAGTTTAAGAGTTCCAAATAAGGCAAGTTGATTTAATATTACTATTTTGGGGAAGAATAGGTTTGTTTTGTTTAATTCTAAAGTATAAACTAATAATAAATTTAAACAAATTATATGATAAAGAGATACATGAATGTGTGTGGGTGCTATGCATTTTCAGTAGTAAAGAAGTGAATGTAAATATGAAATTTGTAGATGAAATATAAACACATTATGGTTATAGAATAAAAAAATGTTCTGCAGGGAGACCACACATAAGTATTGCTTATAGAAAGAAAATAAAAGTTTTCATTCTTTTATAAGATAATATGTATAATATTTTAAATGTATAGTAGGCAAAATATATAAATATATAATGAAATTATGTGTACATCCATTTACTCTCTATATGTAACTGATTTTTCTTTTTAATACAGCACCCAACCCCTGTTCTTCCTAACTATTCAAATACGACCTTTTCTCCAACCATTGAGCCTGAACCATTCCTGTACGTTCTGGGACGAAAGAAGATGATGGATGCACAGTTCCAATGCTATGACCGAATGGCGCAGTTACCCCCCTACCAAGGAGAAGGTAAAAAGATGATCTATGTAAACTTGCATTTCAAACATCATTAAAGACTTATTTTCTTCCAGGGGTACATATGTTGTCTGATCTTAATTTTATCTACTAATAGTTTTAATAGTGGTTTTCATAGTATGGTATATTTGTGTTCATCAGATGGCTTTCTGACAAACATCTGCTTTCATCACAAGATTACTACAATAATTCAATTTTTACACCTGGTAAGCAGGAACAATACAGGGTTAATTAAGGAAGAGAAACTGGAAAATTATAGGAAAGAAGTTGGAAATTGGTGAGCAGAGTTTCCCTAAGAAGAACCTGTCAAAACCCCATATGGTTTGGGTTAATTAGGCGGTATCTTCCCTTAACTGTCAATTAGTTGACAACTCTTGCTATTCCTCTCTCTACCCCTAGTTCACAGAGGAATTAAGAAAGATTGTTTCTCTCTTGCCTCTAGAATATTCTGTCTATGCAATTGTTCTCAGAACCAAACATATTCTGTTAGCTTAGAGGCCCCCGAAGAAAACAAAAGGAATGATGTGATGGCCATGCATTGCTGTATGTCCATTTAAATTGTATTCCTTGTCCCCTAAAACATTTTGAAAAGACCCAATATAAGATCTTGTATAAGACAACATTGCTTGATTGTAGGAAAATATTGGTTTGCCTTCAAGTAATTAAAAGTTATCATTAGTAGCTCCTATTTGTAACATTTTCCTTCAAACACAAAACAAGTTAGTTGAAAAATATTGTTATTTTCTAACTTCAGTAATTTCAATATTTTTAACAAACTTGAACAGGCCCTAAATGCAACTCTACCCCAGAAAGAAAGCATTTCTGGGAAACAAATGAGACAGTAGAAACATGAAACTGATATTTTCAGAGACCACTTTAGCCTTAATTATCTTGGAAGGTTGAACTGTTGTGCTATGTAATTATTTAAAGCCTTTTGTGTGTGCGTGTGAGGGCTGCTTCAAACCTGAGATCCATTCTCTTGAATATCATTCTTCATGCTTTACATTAGACTTGACTTTTGAAATCAGTGAGGAACCACTTAGAGCCAATATTGACCATATAATGTGATTAAGGTTAGCATTAGTTAGCCAGTGACAAGTGTTATTCTAATGGAGTAAAGCTGCTTTATATGTGGTCCACTAATTAGCTGCAAATGCACCGCCAATTGAACAATTACATCATCCTTGAAGTAAGACTGACAACTACCCAAGTAACCGCTTGAAAGGTTAATGGTTAGTAAAATACAAATATTCCAAAGTCACATAATTATGTAATTCTTTTCAAGATAAGCCTTTCATCCAATGGTGATTTTATATATATATATATATATGTAAATTAGTTGTCAACTCATGCTATTCCTTTCTGTACCCCTAGTTCACAGAGGAATTAAGATTGTTTCTCGCTTGCCTCTAGAATATTCTGTCTATGCAATATATATATATATATTTACATAATTATGTAATTCTTTTCACGATAAACCTTTCATCCAATGGAGATTTATATATATGTGTGTGTGTCTGTGTATACATATATGAATAGTGAATATACATATGCCTACCAAATTATACATATATATACATATATGTGTGTGTGTATATGTATATATAGTACTCTTGTTGTAGGTTTTCTGAAGATATATTTTAAAGGAAAGATTTTGGAGGCAAGATTCCATAGAGATTAGACATGTGTGTCTTTTGAGGAGTAAGTAGAGAAAGCATTACTGAAATGCAAATTGCATTATTAGGTTGTATTTTGCTGCTGGTGCTTCATCTAATGTTTCCACATCCAAGTGAAGAAACCTCAAGTTACTATCTGGACAATGTTTAGTCCTGCTGAGGATACAGCAGTTCTGACAATTGCAACATTCATTTCTTTCCCATGGCCAGGTCCATACTGCAATCGTACTTGGGATGGATGGACCTGCTGGGATGACACCCCGGCTGGAGTGCTTTCCTACCAGTATTGCCCTGATTATTTTCCAGACTTTGATCCAACAGGTAGAGTATATATCTTCATTTTACATCTCGTCATGATGCTCTTAGAGCTTTCATAGAGCTGTAAAGAATAACGAATATACATATGCCTACCTAATTATACATATTTTAGAACCTCTGAAACATTTCCTTCATTAAAATATTGTCCATTTATATTAATATTTTAAGCTATGCATATTTTTAAGTCACATTATTAGTCAGTGGTGTACATTGATCTTAAGTTCCCACTAAATTTTAAATTAAAATGAGATTTTTATATATTTTAAATATTTATTATTAAATTAGAAAATTATCTTTGTAACCAGTTTTACTTAGCAAAATGCTTAATAGAGTTATACAGCTATTGGGCTAACATAACATGAATGATGAAAATATTATACAACCTTGGAGTTTATATAAAACTGTCATGTGTAAGGAAAAATAAATCACAAGGTAGTAACTCTGGACACCTACAGTTTTCTGTTTTAATAATAAATACCAAGTTCACTTTAGTTAAAAAAAAGTGACATAGGAATACTTTTCTGTGGATATCACTTTTTTCAGAATATTTCATTATGTATTTTCTCATTTGTACTCACACAATCTTGGACACAAAGCCGCAAATGAACCCAGTTCTCCCAAGCTTTTATCTAACCCTCCATAAGTAAGCACAACAGCCCCACAACAGCCTTAAAAGAGCATTTGACAGTGTATCTAAGTCTGCTTACGAAAAAATGTACAGGTTGAGGTCCTTTAAGAACTTTGAGGAAAGGACATGTTTTTCCTTTGAGCCCTAAGGTCATCACACCCCAATTGGTTAAATGTTAGACTGGGATTTTCCTGCTTAGGCAGGATTTATACATAGATGTATGCATAGAAATGGACACCAAGTGGAAAGTGAAATTAGGGGCTGACATTACCTATCTTCATATATTCAGATGCAAATAGACTGGAAAACTAGAACCCAAAATCCTCAGGGGTGAGTGGTTAAGAGCAGTGCAGGGCTATCCCTGGTGGTGCAACAGGTTAAAACACAGCACTCAGAAGATATCCCCCACCACTGAGCACAAGTTCGATCCCCAGGAAGGGAGGTGACCCACATGGCACAGCAGACCTTTCCTGTCTCACCCGTGGCTCCCCTCAACAATGTATTTCAGTCAGTCTGCCTGTTCTGTTTCCCACTCTGTCTCTGGTGAATCCTCTAACCCCCAACACCTCTGGCCTGTACCCCAGTTCCTGTATGCATAAATAAATAAATCTTAAAAGAGAGAGAGAGCAATGCAGAAAAATGAATGAGAAGTATGTGTTAGGTTGTTTAACAGCCTTAATCCAGAGACTAGATAGTGGGTGTGGGGAGTAAAGTGGTGTAGGTGAGTCTCAATATGACTTAGGAATTGGGAGACGTAGAAAATTTGTGCTTGATGCTACCCTAGGCATCCCGATTTAATGAATTTGGAGTACAGCTTGTACTTTAGGATAATTTTTAATTTCTACTGTAACTTAAAATGCAGTTAAGATGAAACTGATCAACAATGAAATCCCAGTAAGAAGTGACTAGAATGCAACTTAGTGTAGCCAAGTGCACTAGGTAACTCTACCAGGGGGAGGCAGAGCACAGCAGTAGATGAAACTAAAATAGGGGAGGGAGGGAGGTGGAACTGGGGGGTGGGGGGATAAAAGCTAACAGCTTCCTCGCTATAAAAGATGTAGGTGTTGGGACTAGAAAATATGTTTTAAAAATACTAGACAGAAAGCCTGCCCTGTTCAAACAAATCTGAAATTAAAATAAAATACTGGAAAAGGAGTATTTTAAATATAGTTATAAAGATTCAGGAGGCCAAATGTTGAGTTCAGTTCCAAAGGGCCTGTGAGCACACCATGTAAGTTCCCACTAAGGGGTAAGATTAATAAAAAAGTTAATAACTACTGTATTTCATTAACAGAAAGGGTTACTAAATACTGTGATGAAAAGGGGGTTTGGTATAAACATCCCGAGAACAATGAAACTTGGTCCAACTATACCATGTGCAACGCTTTCACTCCGGAGAAACTGCAGGTAGGTTCTGGTTCAACTCTCGGTATTGGGTGAGAATTTATACATAGAAGTGGATTCAGAGATATAAAATACCTACTATGAAGAAGCCAATCTATTTCATAGAAGGAAATTAGATACTGACCTCTAAGTCCTAAGAACCCTATTAAAGAAACATTGGAGAAAACATTTTACTTCTTGATTAGTACTCAGTGTCCATAAGAGCTCTATAGACACATGGAATCAGGCTATTTTGACAAGGGGAACAGTGTCCATGGGACAGAAAATGGGATTCTATGATGCCAGATAACAGGCAACATTTCCAGGGACTTTCTTCTCTCACCTCCTGGAAGAGTTTCAAAAGTACAGATAGTCCACACATCACATGTAATGGTTATCCCACCTCCATCACCCAAGGTGTTCATCACGGTTTACTATCAGCCCTTTAGAAGGTTCTCATGAGCTAATTGAATCAGCGATAGGTGTGGCTGTTTAGATTATTTTCATTCTGATTTGTTAGTACTTGAGCCTTACTGGCTGTTAAATATTTTTAAGCAGAGATGATAATCTCTGCTCAGAAACTTATATTTCTGTGTGGGGGAAATAAACACTACCTACCCTGTTCTTCAGGTGTATCAGAAATGTGGAGATTACTAAGCTTGCAAACTCTCCCCACAGAGCTGAGGGAAAAGTTGGTCATTGCTTGGCCACACAGGGTCCCTGTGAGCAACTCCGGTGACTGCAATAGAAATGTACTGTTTCTTCCAATGCTAGACTTGTGTGCAAATGGTTACTACATTGGAATGTAGAACGTTATTGCTTTAAGAATATAGAAATTTTTTATTATTAAAAATAAGACAACAACAGCAACAAAACAAACAAGGATAGAGTTTAAGAGATCAGATGACTAGGGACACCTTGTCACAGTCCCAGGCTGGGGCACCAAAGCCCTGCACCTCTATAAATTGCCTTTCACCCCTGAGAATCAGATGCATGTCTACATCCTAATGGAGAACTATTTACTTAATCAATAGCCTAATAAGGTCTGATTGAAATGACAGATCACTGAGTAAGGATTCTCCCGAATAAGTGCTGATTATCATTTTACAGGGAAATAATTGTACCTATGTTAACTGAATTGTTATAAATAGTGCAGGTCCAAAAGTTACTTCTGAGTGCACCCATATTTGACCTTGCCGCACATTGTGGCCAAAGGGAAATAGGGGGTTTAAGTAATGAATGCTTCCCTCTAGGCACCTAATATAATGATTGGAATTCATTGCACAAATACCCCATCAAACACAGGTACAAAAAGTGTGCAGAAGCCAACCTAGAACTTATTAAAATACAAACACATACATGCTTACCCACACACCTCTCAGTTTTAAGACACAAGAATGACAACTAAGTTATGAGCTGTTGTTTTAATCGTACACATTTAGAAAACTCTAATTCCGAAGAGTAAATATTTTTTTAAATGTACTGGAGACATTGAAAAGGAATTAAATTATATGAAATATTCTAGAAATAAATTAAGCAGAGATACACGAGACTATGGTGTTGGCACATAGGTGAAGTGGTGGTGGGAAGTACACATGGGATTACAACTGAGATGAAAAAATGTGCAAAATGAAGAATGATGTAAAATGTATATCTATATGTAATAAAATATAAAAGAAAAAAGAAAGAAATTATGCAGAGATAAAAATATAATTAAAGGCGATAAGGACATGGATATATACATATATATCCAAATTAAAAACCACAGTTTAAATAGCAAAGAAATTCTATATGGTAAACTATTTCAAAGAAAGACATTAATAAAAACAACACTCATAGTTTTGTCTAATAGTGAAGTTAGAAAAATAACTAGAAAATTAATTTCTAGGAAAAAAGAAAAAAGTTGAGCATTAATTTTCTCATAGAGATTTCTAAATATCTCCTAACCGAGAGTATTGCTTAATTTTCAATAATATAAATGTGTTGTTTTTTAAAAAAAAACCTTTTTACTAATAATTTCTATCTAGACAATTGTCATTTAAGATATTCTTTAAGACTGAATTTTATCGAAATGTATTGAGATATGTTTTACTATCTGATAATCAAATTAGATAAATATTTTATGTATGTGCAAAGATGAGCATCCTGTAGTTATTAGATACAATGCTTATTACATGTTACATGTACATCCTCTACAGTCACTTATTCATCTACTTTTATTTGTAACTGGTTCTGCTGTTGCTGTTGCAGGATGCATACAATCTGTACTACTTGGCTATTGTGGGTCATTCTATGTCGATTTTCACCTTAGTGATTTCTCTGGGGATTTTCGTCTTTTTCAAGTAAGTACTTTTAAAATATCTGCCTTTTATTTTCTTCTGTAAGACACTATGCAATTTAAGGAATCATGAAATAACAAGTAAAATGAAGTTAATTAAGATATGTTTTTGCACTCTATCTTTGAAGAAAGGCAATAGGACTCTCAAAATGAAACAATCCAGTGAGACTCTAACTACACTGTATGAACATGCAAAGGTTCCTTTTACCTGAGCTGTAATTCCATGAAATATAGAAAAAGTAGCTATCTTCTGTTACTCCCACTATAAAAGGAGAAGATATTATAAAAGTTCAAATCTTGCCTAATAGTAAGCTATATCACAGGTAAAGGTCTTATGAGACATGGTAGTGTATTTTTAGGCAGAAAAAAAAGATCTCAAAGAGAATCTCTGAAAGATGGCCTGTTTCAAATATCAATGTTTTGCCTTTATAGATCTGGATTTTGTTAAATTGTGTTGACACAGTTATCTTTAGAAATACAGCTAGGAATAGAATTCTAAGAAGGGTTTCTGTTCTGAGTCTGTAACTATATATTTGCTTGCATTATCTATGGCCAACTAATTTAGTTGACAGATATTAATTTCACAATAGTGGGGAATTTAAAATGATGTATCTATATTTCCATGAATGACTTCAGAACATATGTGAGATCATAACATGTTACACCTGGCACCAAAAAAAAAAATTGTCCTAAATTTATGTATTTCTTAAATCAAAGGCAGGAGGCTTCTTTCATGTGCATGCTAACTCCACACTACCATGGCAACTCCTGTATCTGATTCCTTTTTTAGTTGTAGTGGTCTTTTACAAATGATGAAGCAAAGTGTCTTCATAGGTCCAAACTACTAATAATTCTCACACTTAAACCATGTGATATGCAATTAAGCATTCAGTGATTCATATATAGAGTAATAAAATCTTAATTTCTTTTTTGTTAAAATGCTAACATTATATTACTAGAGAAAATTAAACCAAAGGGATAATCATCTTTAAACAAATCATTAAGACAGCCAGCATTATTATTTTTTCTCTTGATCATTTTTTTTTAATTTTTAAAGATTTTATTTATTTATTCACATAGAACTGGGGTACAGGCCAGAGATGCGGAGGGTGAGAAGATTCACCAGAGACAGAGCCGGGAGCAGAACAGGCAGATAGATGAAGCACACTGCTGAGGGGAGCAGCGGGCGGGTCAGGAGAGGTCTGCCTCGCCATGTGGATCTCCTCCGGGGCAGGCGGGAATCAAACTCTTGCGGAAGTGACTTTAGCTTCTTAGTGCAGCACTTTAACCCACTGAGCCACCAGGGAGGGCCCCTCTTGATCACTTTTTAATCTTTCATATTGATTTGATTTTTATGTTATTTCTTAATAATGTATAGCATGTCTTTCCCTTATACAATCATGATTCTTATATTGATCAAGTGCAGGGGACCTTGACCAGCAAGGCCGGAGAGTCGGGGCCCCAGGTCCGGCCAACAAAGGAAGCAGTCACACGCGTGTATCAGAACAAAGAAAGAGCTCTTTATTGGGTTTTATCTCAGCTTTATACAGGAGGAGAGGGATGCCAGGAAGGGAGAAGGCCAATAGAAATGCAACATGTTTTGGTGGCAGTTGGTCTCGCGAGGGGCGAAAGTGGGCGAGAAAAGAAAGAGGAAAAGGAAAAGGTGTGGGCAAGGGGGTTCTTCCCACATGCCTTTTGCAACCCGGATGTTTTTCTCTATCCGGACTCCATTTCACCTTTTTATGGCTGCTGACAGACTCCAGATGCCGGCCTCGGTCCCCAACAATCAAGCAGTATAACCAACTAACAAATTTTGGTAATTGAATAGCAAGTAAATAACATAAATAAATTGAGAATGAACAACAACCAAGTAGAATGAACAACAACCAAATGTGGTTAACACAAGAAAGACTGATAAGCAAAACATGAGGGATTAATTACTAGAATTAAAATAGAAGAGTATTTTCAGTTATATAATCAGAATACAACCAAGTAAACACACAGCATGATTAATCTTGGAATGTCTATTCATTTGTCAACTGCACTTTGCCACAGTGACTACATCACGTGATTCTCATACAACTTTGATTTCAAAGTCTTCCACTAAAAGTCTATTTGAAATTTTTAATGTAACCATAAGAAAGTTGAAAGCACAAAAGCGCCCCAACTTGCCATTATGAAACTAATAAGTGTATTCAGGATTGCAAAGGTAGGAAAATATCAAAAGGATATTTCATTGTTCTTAATTTCTCCAATCACTTAGGTAAGAGATGAGGTGTGAGAGCCAAATCAGCAAAGAAAATAAAAATGTCCAGTCAGCAGTCATGCCTACAGTTAAGACACTGAAGATGAGTGTTTAAAAGTGCAGCACATGGGAAAGTAAAATATTTCTCCATTTCAGCTCATCCCAAAACAATTAATCTGGTCTAGTCAGTGAGGTGTATAGGGAACACATCATTTTATCCTACCACGTGTCAATTCCAATGACCTACCACATAGCTACTTAGACGTTGAGTTAAAATGGTCTTATGGGGTGTGGCAATGCAAATGTAAGGAGGCATAAACTTACTCCTCTGGAATACTGTGTGATAAGCCAGTGATAACACAAATAAGTAAATAAATTACTATTCTTTTTTTTTAAAAAGAAAGGTCTGATTGCTTGATAATGGAAAGACAGCTGGCTCTTATGGTACAGCAGACCTCTCTTCTTTCACCTGCTACTTCCCTCAGCAGTGTATTTCAGTAGATCTACCTGTTCTGCTGCCCTCTCTGTCTCTGGTGAATTCTTCATGCCCTACACCTCTGGCCAGTTCTTGTATGCAATAATAAATAAAATCTTTTAAAAAAAAAAGACATACACTGAAATAGCTGATTCTCCAGGGTACAACAAAAGATGAATAGAATTTAGAAAACGCATATGCTGACACTAAATATTTGAATCTCCAGATGTCTGATATTTATACTTATTATTAGTCTTGCCTTAAACCTACCCAAACTAAAATTATCATGTCTATCTGTTTTCATGAGATCAAAGTATGTTTCTGATTCTTGAATTTTTTTTTTGACATTTGGATTTCAGAACTATTAAGTCAGTGTGAAAATAAAGCATGAATTCCTATGTATCCATGGATTTTTATCTTTTAATTAGCAACATTTCCCATAAACTTTTTCAGTCATCCTCACCATTATACCACTATAGTCTTTATTGTCCATTATAATAGAACATTTTATAGAACATTTAAGCACATAAATAGCATTGTCAGTATGAAACCTGAGCAAAAATCAATCATCACTTCTTTGTAAATTCTATATTCACAGAATTATTTTGCAAAATCCAAATAATCAATTTTATGAAACCAAAATTATAAGTTGCACATAACTCCACTTCTGAGACCTTCATTCATACTCATCCCATTGAAATCTCAACCTCTAAAATGTGCCTTGTAGGGCTTTTTAAGGGAGTAACTTACAAGTGGCCTCCTTAAACCAGCAGGCTAAGAAGGTCTTGAGGAATTTAAAGCTGTTTAATGTTCTGGAGCCTGAGGAACCTATGATACTTTTCTAAAAATCCTGGGATATTACTCAGCATAAGATCATTAAGGTGTGCCTCTAATCTTAATGTGATTTTATTCTGAGCATATCGGGGAAGGTAAATGGAAGGGCAGTGTAACCCGGAGACAAATAAGATTCATGCTCCCCATACTACTGAAAATGAATGTACAATGTCTAAAAAGTCTTTATTATTATATAAGAAGAAAATTGAGCTTCTATGCCTTCTTCAAGATAGAGAAAAACTTTTCAGTACTTTAAGTTATAGCAAAGGCAGTCCTAAAGCTCTTAACTGTACAAAATTGGCAATGTTAAAATAATGTTCAGGATGATTGATTTATAGGTTATTTCTGGTTTACCAGTTTAGCGCTACAATCAGACTCTTCAAGATGAAATTCGGTTTCAGACTTTTCTAGGAAAAATTGTTAGGCGTGATAATATGGTGAGGGATTAAGTAAATATATCAAATTATTTCAGCAAGAGTCTTCATTACTAGATGCCAATATTTAATGTCAACAAGAGTTAAGATGAAGGTGCCCTTAGGACAGACTGGTTTGAGAAAGCACATAAGTGGATATTTATTTGTGTTTGTATTCTGAGCATTTCAAGTAAATTTGTAATAGTCACTTACCCCATCTGTTACACTTACAATTTATCAATTCACATTTCTGTGGAATAATCCTAAATGTTGAAACACACCTTATTTTTTGCTCAAGAAGACACAGTAACAGAACATTCATTAACAGAACATTCATTAACATTCATTTTGATGGCCTACTGATATACTTTACTGACTGTTAAATATTCTAAATACTCAAAATTAATATTACACTTGCCTGAACATTAAGAGGGGTATACTAGGGAGATAAGGGGTGTCTTCTTTGTGTTACATGGTCTAAATTATAGTAAATTGACCACACTGGCCAAAAATGAGGGTTTATATTGGGACCTCTGTAAGAAAAATTAATTCTTATATTATTCACTCAATCTTTCCCATTATTCCCTGCCATATATACAGGGTGGATGGATGGAGAACTCTTTTTCTTATACAGTATCCATTGTTATAAGTCCCTGACAATTCTCCTATTTCTCCAGAGAAATCATTAAATCAATGGCACCAAAAATAGCCTTCTTCCTCCCATCTCAACCTTGATATAACAGGACACAAAAGATAATTACTTGCTAAATCTTGGCAGACTTTTCACTCAAAACAGTAGTAATAGAAAACAGGAGCAAGAATTATGACTGAAAGAAAGTTACTTAAGGATAAAGATTTTGCACTAAATCTGAAGGTATGAAGTCCCCTGTCTGATAGGAAGGATGTATATTGCATACATCCATATTGTATACACTATATAGTGTACTATATGCTACATATGGTATAGTATACATCTATTTACTATAATGTGTTTAGAAGTTTTTCATTCCATATTTTTTCATTCCATATCACCTCCCTTCTTTGTGAACAAGGAGTACATAGAAAGAAAATAAGAATTACTCTAAAATATATGACTTGTACCAGTCCCACAATTTGTCTGTATACAGGCTTTTTTATGGACTAGCAAATTCATAACAACTTTTACTTGTTTCATCATCTGCTACTTTCCTTGTTTGCTTTGAATGTGACTATAATTACACTGTCTTATAAAAAGTAAAGACTGCTGTTCCTTATCCAAGGACAGCAAACTGGTTTATGCCATCTGGAAAACGCAAGACAAATATGAAATGTCTTTTCATACAGCTAAAAGTTCCTGCAAGTACACGTATACATACATAGAATACAAATAACATGAAACAAAACTGCTAATGTGAAAGATTTATGTCAGGTAAACTAAAATCATGAAAATTACATTTAGCTTTAGCCTCCAAATATGACATCTGGAGATTGATTCATACTCAAGTAAGTCATTATCTCCTCCTCACATTTGAGTGACATTTTGGTTGAACCAAGTAGAAGTAAATTATGTTATCTCATATTCCTACTATTGGAGAATCTGTAGTATTTATGGTTCCCTATCACTCAAAGAGTATGAGATATCACTTACATTAATATACCTATTTTTTTTCAAGAGGAATAAAATATAACTAACATCAGATTGTGTTTTTCTATTAAAGACATTTCAGGTCTGCTGGGAAAATGTCAGGTTCTCTCATTTCATTTAAGTAGTAGGATAGTTGTATTGAGAATAGTGAAACTTATAAATCACTTATGTTAAGTTCAATTAATCCTCTTTATCATCCTATGATTCTTCTTCAGAACAGTTATCATAATAAGAGTAAATAAACAATTATATAAAGTCCCTGTAGGAAGAAGCTTCTATTTTGTTATCCCTAGCATTTACCAGAAGATCTGAATCATAGCGAGTACATAGCAATAGGTGCTAGATTATTGAATGAATTTTAATAAGTTCAAAGTACCTTTAACTCACCTCAAAAGCTGAGTGTAAATGTCATCAAGTTAGTGTAATAAAATTTTTCAAACTCAATAAGCAGAAATTATATTGAAACCCTCAAGAAACAGAAACTCATTATTTATTAATCATATTCTTCCTTTGCACTGTGGCAGTTTAGGTTGAAACCATAATTCTCTCATTATATACATAATACAGCCCTATGTATAGATTTAGCTAGTGTTAAACAATAGGATAATGTCCAATGTTAGTTAATGTGTAACTTAAGAATCTGGCAAATATTCAATACCATACTAAGCATAAGATATAATATGATCTAGCATTTAACGTAATTCTATAATATTCCAGATAACTATTTAGTGGTCATAGCTCAAAGAAGAAATTTATTCTATATAGAGGGTTTTTGTATAAATACATGTATCAGATCTTTTGTAGGTATACAAAATAAATTCCTTCAGCACTTCATTGCTAGTGAGAGGAAAAGAGAAGATAATAGTCAATAAGTAAATACACATCACAAGGTAAGTTTTAAGAAGAAAAATAAACCAGAGAGATGAAGGGAGTATATTATGTTCCAGGAAGTTCTGGTTTATACAAGAGACTGAACAGTAACTAGTCCTGCAAGCTAATGTTATATGCCATCAGATTATTGAACTCTACCCGATCAAAAGAAAATCAGGCATGAATATAGCAATGCTTTATAATGCATTCATGCATATTCCTGATTTCTGTTAATGTCAACTATCATTTTAAGCCAGACTGAATCCAATAATGAAACCACAGGTATTTGCCTTCCAATGAGAAGAATCATAAAATGAGAAGAATCATAAAATGCTATTGTGATTATATCAAAATTGCAGGTCATAGGTATAATAATGCCAAGTGCAGGTTAGCAGTTGCAGTGCTATGGAAGTTTATGCAGTATCAATGGGTATCAAGTTTTACATAACTAATTTTTCCTTCTTAAAGCTTTCAATATGCAACGTAAGTTTATAATATTATTGTAACACCAATTAGGTTCCATTTATGTAACATCTTTTTCTGCTGCTAAACAAAATAACACATGATAGCATGTGTACATGAGAAAGAGAAAGAGCTCTTCTCTGGCTCCAGTTATATTTTTACCATTGATTCCCTCCTGGACGTAAAGTTTTACATTCCACTCCTGCTCAACAAGTTGAGAATTTTGAAATATTAACTATTTGCTAATGTTTCTACTTCCCGAAAAATTGAAAAATGTAACTACAATAATCAAAATATGCTGTAGTGCTCATTACTTTAATATTCTTTGTGCCACAGATAATTGACAATTCACTTTTCTTTGATTTGGAAGTGTAGGAAAGCATTGTCTATAAATCTAGACCATTCTCATATTTCATCTTTTCCCAATATTTCCTTTTCAGAATTCCCAGTATTATAAGTTAACTTCATGTTATATTAGAAATAGTTATTATGACCAGTCATTGCATAATTACATTAATATTTTAAGTTTTTACATTGTAAATGGCGTTAAATATTTTTGAAGGATCAGATATGATAAATGTCCATTTTGTTCATCTAGAATAATCTTTCAATTTTATGATAGCCATACTACAGACTCTATTTGCATTACAAAATGAAACAGGCTATTCACACTAATGCTAATTTATGTGAACAATCACAAATACACATGTACAGGTTCACAAAGTAAAGGAAAAAAACCCAGCAAATTGCTTTGTACCCAAAGGATGGGAAATGGCTTTGCCAACCAGCAGAGGCACTTGGACGGGCCTTGTCTCTTCCAAACCACAATATGCCTCATAATGAGATCATAGTTGAACTTAATTGAATTCTCTGCTTGTGTCTGAGCTCCACCATCAGGAGGATTTGGAAAGGAAGAATCACATAGGCAATCCCACTTGGAACTGGGAAGTTCGAAAATGTTGAAAGAAATGGTAAAGAGAAGGGTGACAAGGGACGCAATAAGCCCATGTGTGTGGTAGGCCAAGGACATGGATTCAGTCCTTTGTCACTGTCAGCCTTGGCTCTGACTTCACGTACTGTTATCCCATTTGCCACAGTTTCTGCCTGGTATATAAGTGAATGGGAGATTTTTTTTTTTTCATCTGAAGCACACTACAAATCATAATAGTTTCTCTTGTTAGAGTCTTCTTAATTAATTTCACAACATTTGTTATAATTAAAAGTGATTTTATCACTCACTCTTCAATTATTGTATGGAGTCACCCTGAGGACTGAAAACTATGAGGTACTGTGACTGGAAAAATTGGTTTTAAGCACTAGAATGAAAAATAGTAATGAGTCCTAAGGATGGAGCCATCCTCACTTATTGCTATATGTTTTATCGTCTGTTGCTGAGAAAATATTTAACATATCACCAAAAAATGTTTTCCAGGTTCTTTCTGCACTGTGTAATATTTCTGTTTTTACTTTTTTTTTAGGAACCTTGGCTGCCACAGGGTGACTCTGCACAAGAACATGTTTCTGACCTATATTCTCAATTCCATGATTATCATCATCCACCTGGTTGAAGTTGTCCCCAATGGAGAGCTTGTGCGAAGGGACCCGGTAAGTGTTACATGATTTTTTTTTATTAGTTTTAGTTTTAAGGATCTGGTATCCCTAAATAGTGAACTTGGAATTGTTTGACTAAAGTAGGAGTTCCTATGTGTAATCATATTTTATTTTACAACAATGGCATATTAAGCAAGGCATATCATTCCATATGTAACTATTGGAAGCATTTGTTATATGTTACAATAAAAGCCTGGGAATAACTAATCATAACCAAAGGAGAATCATACAACATCATGAGTTTTTATGACTAATCAATAGTTTACTAATGTCTTTAGGAAGTTTACTGAGTGTAACTTGTAAACATACGTGAGAACAGGTAGACTAAGGCTGTGCTTCCCTATGGCCCTATGTGTCACTAACGGGTTTCCCAGTATAGTGTTAATCCCATCAGTTTTTTTGGCACCAGGCTGGACCTGTACCAGTTGCCTCAGCTATGAGTAGCTATGTGTTTACTCTAGTGAGTCATATAATATTACCATGCCCTGAATGACCTAAAAAAGGTTAAAAACCCTAGTCCTCTCACTCTTAGCTTCTAGTCTCTGCAAATGGTTTCCATTAACTGAGCTTGTCCAGAAACTAGAGGTAAGAGCCCTGAGGCAGAGGTATAGATCCAGTGTCTGGACCCATGGGAACAGGACAGAGAGTGCATATAAGCACACAAACAGAAGCTATCTAGCACAAAATAAATGGCTGAAGGATATTTTCCTTTTTGTTTCTCTGCTAAGCTGTGCTAGGCAAGCATCTGTAGATAGCCTCATCTTTCAAAACTGGCATTTGACAGCTCTGCCAACCCGATGACAAAAATGCGTGAAATCTGCCCAGAGCATGCATCCTGCATGACGGTGGCATGGCATGGGAAAGCAGCTTAATTTGTTTTCTAATGGACCCACAGTGCTAATAATTTTGCAGTGTGAATATATCCAGAAGGGCATTATGAGCCATCTTTTAAAAACGTGGCATCTGGTAGCTGAGACTCCCATCTCACTCATTACAGAATGTGACCAAATTGGGTTACCTTCTTTTTTAATGTCAACTAAATTTAATAAAAGTCATATCATTCACTTAATCCTCAAAATTGCCCAGGGAAGTATGGATAGTGTTCACAGAGTAAACTGAGTCAGTGTGTCAGAAAGTACATGTCCTCCATGTTGTGGAAAATCAGAACTGGAACTCAGACCCAGACCTGTCTCACATGGAAACATCCTCTCCCCCCTATAGATTATGATGCTCTTGACTGTCTTGATTTGTTTTTTTAAGGCTATGTCCTTAAAGCGTGGCAGCCATTCCAAAGTGATGACTGTTCAATCTATACACATATACTACACTATGTTTAATTAGGAACAATGATCCCCACTATGTTTAAAATAGTTGTGTAAGCAATGATAGATGCAGTTCTCAGTAGAGAAGACTCAAATTTTTGGTAGAACTCCTGAGAAAGTTCCACCAACCTAGGGGCAGTGTTCAGACAAACTATAAGTTTTATAAATTCTGGAATAGACTCTAAGTCACTCCCCAGTCTTGTGGAAGACTGGAGGTCTCACATCTATATTTCATACCTCCAGCCCACTATCTGACTCATAGGCTGAAATGGTTTTTCATGCAGTATAAGTTCATACTATACCTGTTGTCTTCTAAAAACAGTCTAAATTCAGAATTTTTCGGAGTTGGCCATTAAATTATAGGAACCATTTAATCATACCTTCCAGTGGAAAATAAGGAAGAACTGCTTTACTTTCAAGGAGTTTTCCCCCATTGCAAAGAAGCACAAAGCTTTTTTAAAACTCCCAAAGGACTAACACTGCAAATGACTGCTCACAAGATTGCTGTTAACTGTTGCCCTATAGCTAATTCCCTTGGTCTCTGGTCTAGACTTTTCCAACCAAGCTGTTACCTGTTATTCTTAATGCCTCATAAGTGTTGTCACTGGGGAATTTCACTTTTATAGGCTACTTTAGGGGCAAATATGCCTGCATGCTCTACCACCAGCTCACAGGCAGTCTCCTAGCCAACAAGCAGCCTGTTCTGCCTCCTAGCTCCTTAGTGTCTAGAAACCTTTAATAGAGTCCGTGAGCATGTGTCCAGGGACCTGGCTTAGGCTCTACACAGCTGATTTCCTGGGAGATGTGAGTGTGAGCATAGACGAGCCAAAGAAATTATCAGGAAACTTTCTCTGGGTATGGAAGAGAGAGGGTGGCTCTCACACACATTAGACATTCTTAAAGTGGCCTAAGTTTAAAAACAGTAAAAAAACCATAAAAGAAGCTCTTTTCTGGAATGACTAACACCTGGCTTTTTTAGTCAGTATATTTGCAACCTAGAATACTTGCTATTTTTGGTAAGAGCAATCTTCAAACATCAAAAAAGAAAAAAAAAAAAGAGAAAAGTAGAAATTCATCCAGTCATCTTGAGCACCCAAAACTCAAGTTTTAGTCTTTAGCTGGAACTAAATTCTTATTATATGGAGACTATATCTATTTATGACATTCCCTTCACAGTCCCTAGGAATGTGCCCAGCCCCCCAGCCCCCATGAAAACACCTTCTTATGTCTTGCAACCATGCATGTGGGGTTCAGTCTTTTTTTTTTTTTTGATACCTGTTTCAAGGTGTGTAAGTGTGTGAGTTAATGGAAAACAAAGGAGCAAAAAGTCTGGATATTTTACTCCATGTGTCTGAATTGGAAGTCTCTTTTCTCTGAGGTTAGATAAAATAAAAACAAGTCACCATTAACAAGCCACATGTAATGGATACACCTCCGCCTCTTTCACATTTCCAAATGACAGAAGACAAACTTTGGAAAATTGTGTCTCTTCCCAAATATATGTAAACATTATAGGCTAACACAAAACCACTGCAGTGACAAAAATCAATTCTTGTAGTATGTTGTGGAGCAAACACTTAACTGTAATGAAAAAAATGAGGTCATTTGTTCTCCCTACTTTCTCTTTTTGAATACATCCATTGTTTTCCAGTGAGATTGTATTAAAGCTCTTGTTTATTTCCTAGATTCAAACAGTAAAGGACTCTTCTACTGATCGATTGATTTTTATTTATTTTTTTTAAGATTTATTTATTTGTGCATACAGAACTGGGGTACAGGCCAGAGGTGCAGGGGCGGCGAGAGGATTCACCAGAGACAGAGTCGGGAGCAGAACAGGCAGATGATCAAAGTACACTGCTGAGGGGAGCAGCGGGCAGGTCAGGAGAGGTCTGGCGCCATATGGATCACCTCCGAGGCAGGCGGGGATCAAACTCATGCAGAAGTAGCCTTCGATTCTTAGTGAGGCACTTTAACCCGATGCACCACCAGGGAGGGCCTCTCGATTGATTTTTAATTAATATATTTATTTTCTTACATCTTTGTTAATTTTTGTACAGTATTTGATTTATCCGCTCTGGTGTATTCCCTGCAGTTCTCCCACAGCTATGGCATCCTTGATCCATCACCTCAGTCTTATGAACTGTTTACTTTGGTAAACAAAATTAGTATTTAGAAAAAGCAGGGGGGATAAAACCTCTCAAGCTGTGCTTTGATGCATTGTGTTATTCACCCTTGAAACTATTTATTTACTACCTTCCAAGAGCGACAAGAGCATTGAAGTTTGTGTTATATCTCACCTTGAAAATACATCTTTTGCCATAAATTTTACTCATAGAAATGCAATTTCTTAAATATTATATAAATTATCTAAAAGTATTATATATTTTATATATTATTAAATGACATAAATAACTAAAATATATAAAAAGGAAATTGTTATATTTTACAGTGGATAGTACAAATTAATGGGAGAAATAGAGCCTATTCCACACTTGGTATTGGAACAACTGTATGATAATTAGGGAAATAAAATACATGTTAAATATTCTCTTTTCAAAGAGAATCCTCCAAAAGGCTTTTCACCCATCCAAAAGATTATTTAAAGTGAATTGAAACTGAAATTATAAAGTCAAACATCAAGAAAGAAGAAAACGTCCCTACTGTGATATATTTGAGTACACAGGACATGAAAAAGAACTAGGAACATTTAACTACTTACTATTTAGGGAAAAGAGGTTTTCCTAAGGGTGAAATTCTCCACCTCTAAAGAGATCAACAATATAGTACCTAAACACTGAAGATGATATCAACAATATTGACTGTCACAGGCAAATGATATATTTAAATTTTACTTTCTAAAGGAATAATTTGAAATACTGCTTTAAAAAAAAAAAAAACTTTGTTCCAAAATGAAAAACTCTCTTAACCAAGTACAACGGAGATAATAAAGAAAAATCCAAGAAAGAGACAAAGAAAATGCAACAGAAAAAAAATTTTCATTAAAGAAAGCTATCAGATGTTGTGAATCTATAAACATTGATTAAAATTGTAACTAACATCAGAAACATAACCACAATCAAATTAAAGTGCAACCCTCAGTGCTTTATCTGTCTGTGATTCAGGCATATGTCTCCTTTGAAACAAAAAGAATATGCAATTTTTTAAGTTACTTTTTCTTTTAAGCAAACTAGAGTTGTGGGTTATTGTTTCCTTTTGACCCAGTTCTCAGGTCACTGAATCAGCTTAGGAGGGAAAATTTTTTCCTTCCCAGAGCCTTAGGGAATATATTAAAAAGAAAGTCATGTCTTGTAAAAATAAAATAAAATAAAAGAGCCAGCATCATCCCAAATGCTGTTTCACTACTTTGAAAGTGTTTATTTTATTTTATTGGGGCAAAAGAAAACACAGTGTTCTCACTCTTCCTTAGGGAATCCTGTGGGTTTGTGGTCTCTTTCCCATCAAAGTAGTCCATTTCTTCTGTTGAAAGCTTTTGGTTAGGCAGAGTCTCTTTGTAAAACCAAGGGTGAGAATCTTATTCATTAACATACTCTAAAAAAAAATAATAATAAAAAAAATAAAGTCAAAATACTCCACAGCATATGTAAGGGCTGAATAGATCCTCAGTGTATTGAGTGATATGAAAATTGCCCATTGTCATTTGTGTCATTTAGC